CTGTTGGCATTGTTGTACTCCAGGTCAGGAAAAAGCCCTCAGACTTTAAAACACACCACACGAAGAGTGAAGAAAAAAAATCTTTTTTTTATTATAACTTAGTAAATAGCCAGAAGAAATAAATGCTTGTAAGTAAATAAGAAGGTTCCAAAATGTAATAAGTCCATAAAAGACAGTTGCACAAAACAATGTCCACACAAGATATAAAAGCATTCCAAGACATAATTAATCCAGACAGGAATCAACAGGATGCAAAGACAATCCAAAAGGCTAAAAAATTCCACAGGAACAAGACCCCTTGAACAGGATTTCCATGGCACATGAACTTTGTTTCCAAACGATGCCTGAACTAGCAGGTTTCCCCTTGAGGCAAACCTTACATCCCAAACCTCAGAAATTGGTTTTGCTTCCCCCCACATTTCCCCCTTATCAGATGAAGCCTTTCGGAGCAACGTAAACACTGAGTTTGCTGTCGATCCTGGCTAATCTCCAGCCGCCTATTCTTCAGCTCCCTATCTGGCTGCTCATTAAACTTCCCAGGTGTCAGATTGTTTTCCAAACCCAAATCTTGAGAGCTCACAGACAGAGGGAGTGAATTATCATTGCTAGTCCCAGCAGGAATATTCTCATGAAAAACTGCCCTTTGCAGTGGGGCCTCTCTGTCATTGTCTGCCTGAAAATCATTGACCAAACCATCTCCATCTTGTACCTCAGCCATCATTTCCCACATCAGGATCCTGAAACTCAAACACAGGCTGATTCCCAGAAGGTATGATCTCCAAACAGAACACGACATATGCTTCATTGGTGAAAATTGTAGGGGTTCCTTCCAAATGATTTAAACTCTAGCTCCTATATTGTTCCTAGCTGAGGATGATAGGTCTTGAGTTCTCAACATTTTTCAAGGAGACTTTTCTACAACATTTACTTTCATTTTCATGGCCACAAATGTTTCCACATGGTGTTCTTCCCCTCTAGAGCAGCATCTATTGCTGCAGTGTGTCTTCAACTTGTTTTTAAGTTATGGTGACCCTAAGGAAAAACCATCACAGTGTTTTCTTAGCAATCCCTCATTCCTCGTCCCCATGTTACAATATGTCTATGAGTATATTCCTGATTAATTATGAAGAATGATTAGACAAATCTCAGTGGTTGATATAACCATGTTTCTAATGCAACTATGTAGTAATCCCAGACTACAGGGATGAAGTAATGTAATAGTTGTTTGGTTAATATTTGTGTAAATTGGGACAACAAATGTAATGGAATGTTTTTATATTGTTTTTATACTGCTTTATATTTGTTTTATTTAAATTGTATATTTATGCTTTTGGTTGTGGGCACCATTGTGTGCTGGTTGTTAGCCACCCTGAGTCCCTCTGTGGAGGTTGAGATAGGACGGGATACAAATGTCCATAATAATAATAATAATAATAATAATAATAATAATAATAATAATAATAATAATACCCCTCCCCCATTGGTATTGCTGATCGGTTTTGTTGCTCTTTTCTTGAAGAAAGAGATAGGTCGAAGAATGTGTTGTGAGTAGAAAGAAGAAAGATTGTGTTTTACACAGACTGTTTTGTATTGCTGAACTAGAAGAGATAAAGCCTTCATGTTTTGGAAAGACACTTCTGCTATCTGTGTGTTTTCTGTTCAAATTAGGTAAATTCCAAAGTTGCTAAGAACCAGAGCTACTTGTACACAGACTAAACACTAAGGTAAAAATACTTTTTTTTTAACCAATGAATCCCTTTGATAAGGTTTATTTATGGTTGCCATAAGTCAGGAGCAACTTGAAGAACAAAGAGACTTTCTCTGATACTTAGAAAGTGTGACTTGTCCACGGTCACCAGTGGGATTTATAGCTCAAATCACTTCAAAACTCAGCAAAGACCAAACATGAGAAGGATGTAGATAAAGAGATGAACTTGATTTGTTTTTTGAAAAATGTCTTCTAACTCACTGAGCAAATTTTAATACATTATCCAATGCAACTTTAAGTGTGGAGTCTAAACCTTGACACCGTTAATGCACTTGCTACAAGAATATGGTAGTATGGGTTGAGCATCCCTTATCTAGGAATATGAAATCCAAAATGCTCCAAAATCCAAATAAATAAATAAATAAATAAATAAATAAATAAATAAATACCAACTTGAGAAGTGCTAAGAAAAGCACATATTTTGTCAAGGATTTTTGTTGAGAAAGACTTGTGTTAAAAACACTTGAGGGAAATGCAGAAGGAAATTATATTGGCTTTGAAGACTTCAAATCTATATTCCAGGAAATTTTAACAGATCCTGTTAGTTGAAGATATTTCTTTGTGATGTTGTGTTCTCATAGCATGCATACCCAGTTGCCCCAAATGGGTTGTTTTGAGCTGATGGTGCACCTCCTCTTCTACAATTCAGGACGGTTCACTGGTGAAGCTACCCTACGCCATGGGATGTCCTCCTTATCACTATCCTTAGGCGAGAAGCCCCACAAGCATCAGAAGCCCCACAAACAACAAAGATTTCAGCAAGAGCTTCAGCCTCAGAACCTCCAGTCGGAAACACGGCAATGTGGTAAAGGCTTCCAGAGCAGCTCCTGGCATTTATGTGGAGGTCTCTTCTCAATGTCAACAGAATAACGGAAGTGGCTTCAAACTAAAATCAAAGTTTCTTGGTTACCCCCTGTTCCTCAGCAGTGGCTCTTACAAGTGAGTCAAATGCATCACGGTACAATGTTTGTTCTGCACCTCCTTCCCCTTCTCTGATACGCCTCATTTCAATGCCACCAGAAAAATACTTTGTTATCACTGCCAGCAAGGCCATATCAAATCTACATGTCCAAAGTTTGCCAGTTTCAAGAAACCTACTTCCCCTCCAAAAGCAGTAAAAGTCGTTCAACGGTGAAAGCCACAGAATGAGAGCAATGCCCTGACAGAAAGTGCAGCTAGAGTATTCAGAGTATGGAGTATGGAACAGTTCAATAAGGATTTTATGGAGGTGGTTAGTGTGAATGAAAAGACGATGTTGGGATTGAGAGATACAGGGGCACAGGTTTCTCTAATCAGTCACAATTAATAAAACCAGAAGAGATAGTACATGATCAGAAGTATTGTCTTAAAGGAATACATGGGCCCCAGTTCGAAGTCCAAGTAGCTGAAGTACCTAAATACCATCAGTTTGAAGGCACTTGGCGGATGGGAGTGCTGGGAGGCTTAGACATACCCGTCATTATAGGAAATGACCTGGCAACACATTGCAACAAAGTAAATGTAGTCACCAGAAGCCGAGAGAGCGAGAGGAATGAAAGAATTTTTTCCTCAGAAACAGTTCCTGATTCCCACCCTAACAACCCACTGGAAGTCCCATTCAATTTGGACATTGATCATGCGGGACAGTTTCAAATCCAGACAAGACAGGTCCTCCTGGTCAGTCGAAAGGCCGAACCGGGCACAGAGTTACAGCCTGTACTTTACAGGGTAACACTCCCCCTGAAGACGCAGGTTCACAGCTTGGAAGTGATCCTAGATTCATAGTTGAGCCTGGAACCCCAGGTCTCAGCGGTGGCCAGGGGAGCTTTTGCACAATTAAAACTTGTGCGTCAGCTGCGCCCATACCTTGGGAAGTCTGACTTGGCCACGGTGGTCCACGCTCTTGTTACATCCTGATTAGACTACTGCAATGCACTACAACTGGCATGTTTTAGCAACGGTTTATTTAATGTTTTGTTTTAATGAATTTGTTGATTGTTCTTATAATTATGATGGCACCGGGGGACACGAGAGAAGCCTCCTTGCAGGACTGCAAGACATCTGGGCGCCTCCTGGGCAACGTCTTTGTAGACGGCTAATTCTCTCACTCCAGAAGTGACCAAAAATGCAATACAACTGTTTGGTTTGCTCCTGAAACGATAAATAAATTATGATGGCCCCAAATGGTGTTTGCTGTGAGGTCGCCCTGAGTCCCCTCTCGGGGGTGAAAAGGGCAGAGTACAAGTATATGAAATAAATAAATAAACAAGTATCTCAAAATAGCTGGCCAGAGAAGAGGGAATCCTTTTACAATTGTTGGCAGCGGTGGGATATCCAAAATATTGATGGGATATCTGCACAGGCTGGCAGCCTATCCTTTTACAGCCAGCAACAAGGAAGGAGTGGCAGGAGACACGAAAGGAGTGGAAATAAAATATGAAGAGGAAGGCGGCTTGTGGATAAGATTTTTACCCTGGTGTCCTGCAGGTTAAGAACCACTGCATAAAAGGGTCAGTATCTCATGCAAAACTAGGGAGAAAATACGCATTCAAATGATTTTTATATTCAATCTCTATTGTCTTTTAAGAGAGAGAAGTTCCATATAAAAATGCATTAATGCAAATATTCCACAATAGAGTATTTGTTGACTCCCTCAAAGTGCTTATAGAGTATGCCTTGGTAAGTATTATTTATAAAAATAGAAAATATATTTAAAAAGCAATTTCAAAGAAACCTAGCAGTTGGCTTGCAGATTTCTTGATTTAAGAAATAACTGTGCTTTGTTATTATTAGATAGCTTAAACCACAGACTCAGTTTCTCACTTCTCCCACTTGATCCACAGCTTATTTCAATTTCTGTAAATTGAAATCAAAGGACTCAATTCAATTGTAAGAAAAACTTTTGGGGTTTTTTTTCAAGGCACCATTGTACAGAAATTGCTGAATCACACAAATAACTCAAGCAATGAGAAGCAGGTAAGAAATATTATTATTGGCTGCTCCAAGACTTCCTGTGGAGAGAAGATGCAAGATATTATGATTATTGTTGTTGTTGATGTTATTATCTGCTCTGATCCTCCTTTAGAAGAGAACAAGCAAGAACTATTATTAAATACAAATAATAGTGTTAGGAGTTGACCTAATTTCAGCCCTGTTGAGCAGTGCCTATACAATTTGGAATATAGTCCGGAGTGTGTCCACCTTTTATTGAAAAAAATCAGACTCCCCTCCCAAAAGATAGACGTGACATGAATTGCATATAAAAGTTTTATTTTATTTTACATTTTATTGAATATATTGAATATAAAATACAAGGAGCCATGTGCTTAAAACAATGCTTAAATACAAGGAGTCATGTGCTTAAAACAATGGAAGAATTTTGCAAGGAGCCTCGGCCAGCCGCTTCAGGGCTTTTTACGCCTAGAAAGAAAAGACAGGTTTGGGATCAGCCTTTGTAGGAAAACATGTAGTTCACAAGAAGGTGGATTGTGGCAGATTGGTTTGGAAGACGATATAAAATGTTGTCTTTCCATGTATCCAGATCTGTCGCATCCTGGAGCACAGCCTTAAATGCCTAAAGCCAAAATCATGAGATTTAATTTAATTGGTTTTTTTTATTGCATTTGCTTTACTTTAAATTGATTCAAGTGTGTGGTTGTTAGCTGGCTTGAATCTTCTCAAGAAGTACAGGATATAAATAAAGAGAAGAGGAATAAGGAGGAGGAGAATTCCATTTCCTCTAGGAATTCCAGCTCCCAATGGCCTGGATGGAGAAGCACAACTTGGGAGTTAAGAATGAAACGGTCCCATCACCTTTGTAATCGGGAACGGGGAAAGGGCAGACCATCATCCCCACCCTCAAAATGAATCGAAACTGCAGCAAAATATGGTCATTTTCCTTCCACAAAGTCCCCGCTGTGCAATGAAACAGACTGGGTGGTCTTGGGACTGGGGATAAAGCAGAGCCACAAGCTTCATACCTCAACCTCATGGGACATAAATGTGGGGTAAACACACATCATTGTAGACCAACACCTGGAAGGATGTCAGGCCCCAGGGAAAAAAAGGAGGGGGAAAAAAGGGGAAGATTACCCTTCCCAACTAGAAAAGGTCACCTCCTACTTTGGGGCAAAAAGAACAAGTTGAGCTGGCAAAACCAAACTCAACCCCCTAAAGGTTGAGGTTCCAAACCCCCTTTGGAACCCGCTCTACCTGCCAGGTCTCTTCTATTTGAAGGGAAACTTTCAATAACTATTTGTCTATATAATTTTACCTCCATGACTGACTCTCTTTCCTGCCTGTTTAACTCATCTGGTAAAACTGCCACTGTTCTTCCCCTGAGCCAAACGGAGCGCCTCCGCTGCCCGGCGGCCTGCACCTATTTACAAGAGGCCGAACGGCAAGGGAAAACGCTGGACCTTCCCTCTGTGCCTCGCAAACCAGCCTTCTCTCACACTTCCTAGGGCCAGCCAGGCACTTCAGGAGGATCCTGACCCAGCCTCTTCCCAGAAAACAGGAAGCCTCTTTCAGGTCTGAGGGAGGGGACTAGCAGGAAGGGTAAGGGGCTTACTTGGGCTGAGCATGGTGCTGATATCCTGGGCCCAGGTGCGAGCCGGCCTTCATCTCCACAGCAACTGAACACTGGTGAAGGAAGAGAGAGATGCACATGGAAACCCAACCATCAGGGAGGAAGTCCATCCCTTCCTCCCTGCCCCACATCCCACCCCATCCTTTGCCTGGGACTCACTCTCGTCTCCACATCGGTCCATTCAGATTCTGTGGCCTCATCTGGAGGCACTGGGCTCAAGGGAGAAGAGCGCCTCTTGCGGCTGAAGGGGAAAGAGAAACAAGGAATTCATGTGGTGGCTCTTACTTCTCCAAACACCTTGCCCACATCCTCAGGCAGCACATTTTGAAATTTATCAAACAACACAAAGCAAGATCAGTGGTTCTCAACCTGTGAGTCCCCAGGTGTTTTGGCCTGCAACTCCCAGAAATCCCAGTCAGTTTACCAGCTGTTAGGATTTCTGGAAGTTGAAGGCCAAAACATCTGGCGACCCACAGGTTGAGAACCACTGCTCTAGATACCCTAGTTTTAAGAGGTAAGGAGCTGGTGACCGAACGGACTGCGGGAAGCTTGTGGAGATTCCTGCATAGTGAGGTGTGGACTGGGACAGGATGAGGCCCTTTGTGATCATATTTAAAGTGTTCTTTATACCTTAGAAAGCAAATGAATACCTTGGAAGCCTTCAAGCAAACATTCACCTGGGGTGTTTTTTCCTCAAAACAGAGGGAAGCAGAACACATCCACCACACGTTCCAGTCCCCCAATGGCTGAGAGGCCAAGGAGCATGAAGGGAGCTTGGGCCAAACTCACCCTGTTGGGGATTCTTGTTTCAAGGTCTCAATTTCAGTGAACTGGACAGCTTGTCCGCCTCCACGGGTCTTGTAAACGTCGCCCTGGAAGAGAGAGGGGGTTGAGCAGAAGCATGGATGTCCCACCAGGGTTTCCACTGTGCTGTTTGTACAGATAAACAAAGAAAGCCAGAAGGGAAATGTCTCTAATGTGTTATGTTGCTTGGCATTACATTTCTGATCTGAGTACAATGTCTGACAATATTCTGGACATGCCACATAATTGAAGCACACTGTGACAAAATAGTCCCAGGGATCAAATTCCGTATTTAATTACATAATAGTTGTTATTACATAATAGTCTGTCCTCCCTTTTTTGGGTGGCAAAATTGATATTCTAGTGTTTCTTGCATAATAGTCACAGATCCATTCCCTCTTCCCTCCTTTCTTTCTCTGAACTCAAAGCAGTTTAAAAACTATGAAACTGAGATCTCTGGAGCTTTGCTCTTCTTCCCTTTCTCCAAGGAATCCCGTTTCAGATTTTGTAAACTGCCTTTCCTTCAGAAAAAGGGACGAAGAAACAGGACTCTTCCCCCTTCTTTGGAAGCAAGGCAGTTTAAAAAACACACAAACAGAAATAGAGTCGTTGGTTGAAACTAGATCATTCCTTTTCCTCCTCCTCTTGCCTTGGAGGTAAAGCAGTTATTTAATGTATGAAAATTGGCAATAATTGCAAGCTGACATGTAAATTTAAAGTTAAAAGAGGGATATGGAAATGAAGTGATTTTGATGATGCATGGAGAAAATTTATTGAAAAAGGATTTTAAAGGTCCCCCTATGGCTGAGAGGCCATTGGAAAGTTACCTCCACAAGAGGAAATGAAAGTTTGGACAGATTATACATAAAATGAGTGGCTTGGGGGGAAAGGAACACGGTGTTGGGGAACAGAAAATATGTATAAGCGTAAAAATAACAGTAAATGCCAAAAGTTAATGTATTGTAAATTGTATTGAATATTATGTGACTGCTGAAAAACAAATTATGTATAACAATTGTATTGAATTATGATAAAATAAATAATATGTTAAAAACCAAAAAAGAGATTTTTTTCATGACATAATAGTCACACACACATTGAAAATACATAAAAGTTACTATTATGTGATGTAATATGGTATAGGGGGCATTACCATGCAACCAAAAACTACAACTGCTTTAGAGGCAGGATCAAAAAATAAAACAAAGATATTAAGGCAGAAGCTCTGGGGCCTTCTTCACAAGCTCCCCATCTCTAGCCAGGCTGCTGTACAACTGTCTCTTTGCTCCCCCCTCCAATCCTCCCCTCCCTTTAACCCAATGGTTCTCAACCTGGGGTCCCCAGATGTTTTTGGCCTACAACTCCCAGAAATCCCAGCCAGTTTACCAGCTGTTAGGATTTCTGGGAGTTGAAGGCCAAAAACATCTGGGGACCCCAGGTTGAGAACCACTGTTTTAACCATTACCATTAACACATTACCTTGATCAGCTTGGTGGAAATCTCCCCGTCTGAAGCTAGCTCCTGGTGGGTCAGCATGTACTTGTCACACCTAGCCAGGGCCTTTTCATTGGCAGCAGCCACTGTGATGGCGTGGGGCACGTGGGGCTTCATAACAGTGTCCATTGGGACGTGGGAAGGGGGCTTGTGGTCAACCCACCTCTCTCCTGCCGAACGGGAGCGCCGGTGACGCAGCCGGACTGGTGGAGCATTCTGGTGAGATCAGAAATAAGGAGGAAGCATGAGCAGTGCCACACTACGCCTCTTGCCAAGGCAGGCTCTGGGGCCTGCCCAACTCTCAGCAGCCTCTTTTGACTGGCTGCTCTGTCCATGGCTTTGGACCTCCCTACTACCACTAGCACCACCTCCACCTGTACACAGTTACACCAAGGTAGTGTGCAAAAAGGTTATGGGATCGTTCTATTTGCTTTCCTGACACTTAAGGTTTACATTGAAACGGAGGAGCCTTGGATTTAGAGTATAAAACTGGACAGAGAAGAGAATGAAAGTTACGTGACACAGATGTGGCATGCTGTGAATCAAGAGGGGCCAGATGCAAGTACTTCTAGAAACAGGTCCACCATCATTTGGAAAGGAAGAGGGTTGTCTGTTTGCTTATCTGACTTGTGTGGCATCTGCCTTCTACACATCTCGGTGAATGGGATTACAAATGCTAGGCAAGGCACATATTCATTGTTGTTCTCCCACTGTGTTAACCTACATCTCCTTTTGCCTATAGCAGGGATGAGCATCTGTGTACTACTAAGTGGCTTGAAGTCCACATCTGATTTGTTGGTGTTAAACAGTACAAGGAAGTTGTGAAATCTATTTAAAAGTAACTTACTGTTATCATAGCCTTTTAAGAATAGCAATTCACCTGCTTTCTTCAACCAAAGATTCATCTTGGGATTTTGAAGATTTCAAGGGCCAGAAAACCAGTAGAAGCTGGTGCAGGGAAACAGTCTGCCCATCTCTCCTCATGAAGAAGCCAACCTTGAGCCCAGTTTGCCAACCCTTGCCAAAAAACGCTTCATGCACTGGGTCTTCCCTCCTCATGGACAGCCGGCCTCTCTCCATGAGGAGGGAATGGCAGTCTTTGGTCCCCTACACTGGATTCTCCTTTGGGGTGGGCAAGGATGGCCTCAGACAGCAGTTACAAACATCTGTCTGGGCCTGCTGAGAGTTGCAGCCACTGATCTCCCTTGCGGAGCCTCCTCTCCAGTCCCAGTTAGGGAACACTAACCCTGCAGCAGAAATCCTCGCCTGCCTCTGTGACGCCTTGCCCGCTTTCAGGGCCTCTACTCCAGCACATGCCCCGCCGCCGGTCTGTCACGAGTGAGGAGGGCCCCGCTTGCTCTGGCTCTTGAGGTCTGTCTTTGACCATGCCGGGGTGCTTGTTGCCATGAGTGGGCGTCCTCTGCTCCCATTCCGAGATGCAGGAGGCCACCGAAATGCTGCTGCAAGAGTTAGAGCGCCTGTGCAGCTGGGGCTGATTTTCAACAGGTGCCAGCATGGGGTTGTTTTTGCTGTGATGGAGCTGAAGACAGGTGCCATTAGTAATCAAAAGAATGAGAAGAACCCACACAGAAACCACACAAGAGACCAGTTAGTGGGGACAACATAGGGAAATCCACCCGCTGCAAAAAGATCCTTCCAACCTCCAGGAGGAAAGAGGCATTTGCAGGCGATGGATGCGAAGGAAGTAAGGCACAAACAGAAAGAAACAAAAGCCCTGTCAATGACTCACCAGACTCACAGGACCATGCAACTTCTGGCCCAACCTCCCAAAGACACTCACCTAAAGGGCTTAGCCTGTCAGGTTACATCAGACACAGTAAGATACACATGCAAGAACCACAAAGAAACGAACTAAGAAGAAACCTACAGGGACTGGTGGCGGGGAAAAGGACCTCGGCACGGCTTTCTCTCTGTCCCTCTCTCGAGAATGCCTCTCCGGTTTGATGGCCTTGGGCTCCGTGACAATGGCTTTCAGCTGCTTGAGTTTCTCGTCCTTCACCCAGAGTTTGTTCTGCATCTCAAGCTGCTTGGCAGCCACCCGTCGCTCCTGCAAGGGAGAGCACAGGCTGCTTAATGCCAGAAAACCTTCTGAACAACCTTACCAAACTGCCCCATTCTCAGATGAGTGGCACTTGTAGCACCACACTATATCAGACGTAGCAAAGGGAACCCAGATTGGATTGGGTCAAGCAGGAGGACTATGTTATCCCACCTGTCGCCCTATTTACACAAACATGGAAGCAAAAGGTTGCTACTGTGTGCCCTCAAGTTACTTTGGTAAACCCCAAATCTTCATGCTTTATTAAGCAGCACATAATGCCTTATTTTCCATCTCTAAATCAATTAATCAGTCAGGCACAAGAAAAAGAAGGTTCAGAATAAGAACTAGAGCCTTCAAATCCCCACTTTCTCGCTGGCAGAAGGCAGAGCCAAGTCTGAAAAGGTAGGTTCTGTCCAGAAGGAGAGCCACAACACCAGCATCAACTCTCCCTCTTCTTATCACAGACTTCATTTCACTGTGTAGTTCCAGATGAATCCAGGAGAGTTTTAGAGTCCATCCACTGCAGATACGGGGTCCAAAGGGGGCAAACAGTTCTCACAGATCCCTAGTGCTGCCTGATAAATGAAATGCTTCAGCCTGGAAACAGAAGAGGCCTTTGCACTTACGCATTCCTTCTCCCACTTTGTAGTCGTCTCGGTCACCATGCCTTGAAGCCGGGCCTCCATTCGACGCTTGTCTGACACCTGGCGCTGGAGCTTCTGGCTCTTGTTCTCTAGCTCAAGCTGCAACTTGCGCTTCTCTTCCTCATAGATTGTGGTGGTTTTCTCCAAGATGTCGATCTGGGAAGTCAAATGGAAGTTTCAGATCCAAAACATTTAAGCAGAGGAGGAGGAAGGAAAGCAAGGGCCTAGATGGCAACTGGTACAGGTAAACACACACACAGGTATTGACATAGAAGCGTGCAAAAGGACAGCCTGTCAAGACAAATTAAAGGTTTTACCAGCAGTCTCAGATACCACATTTAACACAAGATCCACAGGGATTAGTCCCTGGCTAATACATTTAATGCCAAAACAGGCCTCACCAACCTTGTATTCCAGTGTTTTTGATTTCTTCTCGAGGCGTTCAACTTCTGCTTTTTGCTCTGAGATAATTTTGTTCTTTTCGACCATTTTTAAATTTGAGTAGTTCTCTCTTGTGACAATGTTGGCATCAAGTTCTTGTAACATGCCCTTTATGGAAAGAACTGCAAGGGAGAAGATCTGAGATTTCTTCACATCAGTCATCAAGAAGGCCAAGACCACATCCTCCAGGTTTAGCCACATTCAACACAGAGACCTCATTCAGCAGATACAACATTCACACTGCTTCTACACATAGGGATAAGACTAGACGCCTGTGAATATGCTGCTCACCATCAGTATGAAGCAGCCATTTTGCCACAACACTAAAAACAGGAGGCCAACCTGTGTATCCTTGGCTGGCTATTCAGAAGTTTGGGGGGGGGGGGGGGACTAAATGAAACCATTGTAGGGAGTGAGCACAAAAATGGCACTAGTCCCTGACACATTGGGAAAAGGACATGTCGGTCTGGCATTAACCCATTACTCGTGGGTTCCTGTTCCAAGAGGGGCAACATGGATACCTATCTGAAGGAAGACAGTCTAAGGTCTTACCATTTTTGGCAAATTCTTCCCTCATTGTCTTTCGGGCGCGATGGCGCTTTTCCAGCGCTTCAATCAGCCGAGGAAGAGTCTGGTCGTCATTGATATCCAGAAGCTCACAGGATGGCAACGGGGGATAGTTCTGCAAGAATGTCTCCATGGCAAACCTTTCTCTATCTGCAGGAAGGAGAAAGACATTCCCGATTGTTTGATGCAAGCCAATGAGTATGGGGTTGGCTGGTCTAGAACCGAGCTTCTTAAAACTATGGGCCCTAGCCCCAAATGGAGCCCCCTGAACTCCATGTTGGGTGCAAAAAGCTTCCTCCCGCCCTTCCTGCCTCCAGAGTAGAAGAAATGGCAATGGCTGCTTCTTTGAAAGACGCTCAAGCTACTAAGGGGTGGGAAATTGACTCATCTTAAAGAATGTTCAAATCTTATGGCTGCCTCCTCCTGCTGAATTCTGGGATTTATAATTTAGGGAGGTCCAGGACATCTCTGGCTGGGCAGTTTGAAGAAATCCCGCCAGCCTCTCCAGGCATTTACTGCCCTTCCGTCTCCCCAACTGCATCCCTTTGCTTGAAGGAAACCTGACCTTTGTGGTCCTCTGCACCAACAGTGTAAATATCTATATCTATCTCAAAATTTGACTTTGCCATTTTATCTAAGGGACATCATTTTATTACATTCCCTAGTATATCATGGGATTTGAGCCTCCATAGGTTTTGGTACCTGTTGCGGGTCCTGGAACCAAACCACAGCAGACGTTGAGTGTCACTGTATTTTACTTAAGAAGTTTGGTTCTGATGTACTTGGGAGTCAGGCATGCCCTAAATGTTATTGCTGTGGTACAACTGGTCCTCTGTATCCACAGATTTAACCATTTGATGTTTCAAAAAAGTTTGATTTGTAAATCTTAAATTGAATTTATTGGGGTTACTGGATGGATCATGACCTGTTAGGATTGCAACTCATCAGGGGGTACAAGAGTTTGAGAGGTGTATTCCTTGAATTTATTTGATGCTTTAGGCAGGCAAAGATTCAAGCATTCTTTTAGAATAACAATGTTTGTTTACTTATAACTTCATGCATTTAATAACAGGCACATTTCTTTTGAAGGTTAAAATACTTCAAAAACATTTGGAGAGTTTGTATTCTCAAACTTATAAACTTTAACTGTTTTTTCATGAACTATGTTGCTTCACACAGCTCTCCTCAATAAGAGCTCATTTTAAAAGAAAACGCAAGCCTCAACAATGTACTAGCTTCAAACATTAGCTTCTGCACACTAAAAGACTTCTAAACTCAAACTGACTCAATGCTCAAGACACTCTCTAACAGGCTCAAAGCTCAACTGACTTCTCTGTCATTCCTTTTAAAACTACACATTCTAAACTGTCACTGAGTCAGTCACATGATCACAGCCCTCCCCCCCCACATGCTTTAGTACAAAGAGAAAGGAAAACTGCAAACTAAACAGGACATACCCTTCAGATTATAAACTGACACATTTTAAAACATACAAACATCAAATAGAGGAGGCTTGAGAAGGTTGCTTCCACCAACAAAATTTGTATGTAAGTCAGAACAGGTACATTTTTAAAGTGTAACTCCAGCCATATACATATACATATACATATATTTGCTTTGGATACCATAGGGAAGAATTAAGAACTCTGTGGCGTTTGTTTTGCTCCCCTTCAGAGGATTTCACCTCACTTTCTGTCCCTCTGCTGTTGGATATTGAAAAATATGTTTTCTTGTGCAAAGAAGGATTGGTGATAAAACTTCAGTTGATACATCTTTTTCCCATAATAACTCTTCCAGGAGTGAATTTCCCTTCCAATGGTTAGATTTCTCTCTCTTCCTGTTGTCTAAGCACTGTTCTTAACTAGGGGATTGCCTATACCTATATTTCCAGGGCCACATAATATTTCTGGGCAAAAAGTGGTTTAAGAAGCTCTGGTCTAAAGGGACATCCAAGACTTACCTCCGTCGACTGGTCCTCCTCGGAGCTCCAGTTGCCGGGAGAGTTCTTCCTGGAAGGCCTGGTTCTTAAACCGCCGGCCAGCCATCAGCCCACAGAGAGGCTTGTCAGCAGGCCTAGCCACTTCCACTTCTTGAGTGATCTCTGCAAATCGCATGACTTGCTAGAGGGAAAAAAGGCATTAGTAAGCATGTGGGAATTCAGTATTAAGATCCCAACTAAAGGCAAATCACTCTCTCTCAGCCTCAAAAAAAAAAAAAAAGCAAAGAAAGGACCCCCCCCACCACCACCAGCACAAATTCTACCTAGAAAATCTTTGTCTTAAGGTCCCCATACATCAAAATGTCTTCAGTTGAACTAAAAAGGTAAGATTTACATTTTGTGTAAAAAGGTTTAAACACACTGGAAGACATCTAACTAGTATAAAGTTGGACTGAAACCAAGGCAATCTACTCCCGGCCAGTTTTTATACATTTAAAAAATGGAAAATTACCAGGCTCTCGTCGTAGTCCTCAGCTTTTGGATTTACACAGACAATCATGCGAACTTTCCCTTCCCCGTCAAAGTAGTTCTTAAAGAGGTGCGTCAACTTTGAGTCTCGATAGGGGACCATCTAAAGAAAGAGTTTAATGAGTTCAGAACTAAAGGCCAGAGACAAACAAGATTCACAGAAACAGGCAGCCACAAACCTTATTGGTTGCATATGTTTGGTTTTCACGCAGAACTTCAATACAGGTTCTGAGCATCATCAGAGACTGATTGATGTTACCTGAAAAAATTGAGACCATTAGTCTGATCTTTCCCAAAGTAAAGGATTGAGCACACAGGAATCTTTTACCAGTTTGCACTTCTGATTCTCTGCTAGTGCTTGACTTTCCACACCAGATTAGGAAGAGGGATGCTTGGAACACTAAAGCAATGCTTGGAACTCTAAAGTCAATTTGGCTTAACTAGCGTTCTAGTTTAACTACTATTAAGGAAGGTAAACGTGAGATTCTACACAGGGCCATAACTGTCTCCCTCTAAGATGAATCCCCAGAACCTGAAAGAGTAATAACAATAATAATACTTTTATTTCTTATCTGCTTCTCCTCAAGGTAGGGCACAACACAGTTAAAACCACACCATCATAAAACATTATGCAAAATAAATATAGGAAAAATGTATTTGTATGATGTGTGTGTGTGTGTGTATGTATGTATGTGTGCGTGTGTGTGTATGTGTGTGTGTATATATGTGTATATATATATATATATATATATATATATATATCAGAAGAAATCAGCAGAATGGGTAGACTGCTCTCATGAATTCTTTAAAACAGAACACTTTGATAAGGAAAATTGCTGTTCTCACCAGCAGAAAAAGGTGAGTATTGAAGATGTATGAGGACTTAAAGAGTAATCTCTGTCTAGTAGGATGTTTGCAGAGGTAATGACAACCTTTACTGAGTAATATTTTTCTGTAACATCCTATGAACATCTGCAAGGATATATTTTTTTTTACTAGCAGGGGAAGATATAGAAAGATGTCTAAGCAGGATCTCAAGGGGTAGATGGAAATGTGTGCCTGTTTTGGACCAGTTGAGATGTTGTTGTTCATTCGTTCAGTCGTCTCCGACTCTTCGTGACCTCATGGACCAGCCCACGCCAGAGCTCCCTGTCGGCCGTTACCACCCCCAGCTCCCTCAAGGTCAGTCCAGTCACTTCAAGGATGCCATCCATCCATCTTGCCCTTGGTCGGCCCGGACCAGTTGAGTAGGAATACAAATATGGCAGCAAGGAAACATCAGCAGCACTTACCTGCCTCCCGCAGTCTGCTTCCTTCTGCTTTTGTTCTGTTTGTTCGCTCACTTCCTGCCAGATCAACCAAAGATAACTGGCTCAGGGCTATTAGTTCTCTGTCCTGGAAACAATAAGAAGCCATTGTTTCAATCAAGAAACAAAAACCCACCATAACCACCAAGATTTATCTATTGGTTACACAGGGATAAGCACCCCACCACCAAGGGCTCTGCTTTTGCACCTGTAAAACGTTGTCACCATCTGCATCCAAAGGCGCTTGGATTAGCTTGATGAGAAAGACACTGTGCGAACGGCTAGATTCTCGATTCAGCTGAGTGTTCGCAATGCGCCTCTTCTTTTGGCCTGCAAACAGAAGAAACGTGTAACTTGGTTTCATGCAGCCACATATTGGAAACAAATGGCAGTGACTCACAAAACACCGGGATTGCGGAATTCCCTACCTCTCCAGAAGACTTCAAAGGCTTCTTCGGTAGACTTGACTTCCACCTCTGTGCATCCTGCCACATACATATTATGGTTTTGATCTTCACGGAGAATTCTGGATTGCGGAAGCCTGCATTGGGGCAAGGAAGCTCTGACATTAAGCCTCACACCAGCAACACACTTATCGCGAGTGACAGAAAGCCAAACCATCGAGGCACATTCTAAGGTCAGCTAGATGGGACAAGCAGCCAGCAAGGATTAGTTTATCCAAGCAAACAAGAGGAGCCTCAACCTGCCACAATGGGAGGCAAATGTTTGCTCTGGCACATGCAAACTACCAATGGCAGACTTCTAGTTAAAAGGGGCAGAAGGCAAACTCGATAGCAAGAGTAGGAAAAATCAGTTATCATGGCTATTAGAAAAGGAAAATAAGTCTGTGACGTACAATAATTCAACGTTCCGTACTGGAGTGTCACAGGTGTTCCACCTAACAAAGAAATGCAATTCAAGTGTTACACACACTCTCACACTCATTACTTTTCAAATTACTTAATGTAAAGTTAAAATATGATTCATGAATCTTTGGCAGCCAACTGGCAAAGAGTTGAACCGAGGCCTACCCAAATTGCCAGTAGTAAGGGGCCAAAAATAAAACAAAAGCCTCTTTGGGCTGTAGATAGGTTTTTAACACCACACTTTCCAGGGAAAGCTATAATCCATGATTAACCTACTGTCAAAGTATAAAAAGGGGAAGTTTTACTTAGCATCAATTAATTACAATAACTATACAAGATTTTACATTTATTACGATGCAATACACTAATGTGACTGTACACTGTATGTAGGTTTTAAAATTGTTTATTTTATGATATTCATATTTATTATTAATGTATTTGGTCTGTTGTTTATATGATTTCAATATGTTTTAAGCTGCTTTGGGTACTGTGATGTAGAAAAGCAGGGTATAAATAAATATTTATTATTGTTATTGTTATGATGCAACCACATTAATGGGAAATTACTTTGCCAATAAACTAAATATAAACAGTAAGAAAACCTGAAAATGCATTCAAGCCTCTACTACTTGGCCACCATAAAACTTTCAACATCAATGAAAATTAGAGAAGCATTGCAAAATGCATACCCAGACGACACTGGGCACATAAGCTAGTTATTCATAAATGGCTGTCTTGGGTGAGTCACACACTCTACCACAGACAAAGATACAGACAAAGGCTCGTTCCATCAGCACTATTGGCTGATAATGGTTGGCCTGAAGATGCCAGCCACAGATGTAGGTGAAACGTTAGAAGAAAATGCTGCTAGAACACAGCCATTGAGACTGGAAACCACACAACACCCCAACGGTTGGACCTTTCACTGCCTGCCTTCTGCAGGCCACAGGGAAATCTTTTGTAGAGCCAGCCCCGGGACATATGTTGTGCAGGCTTGGTCTAACCAAGTAAGGTTTTTGATTCCAGCATATAGCCAGCATTAGGTACTTTAGTAACAGATTCCCAGAACTTTTAACAAGAACAACTCATATGTAAAAAACTATTTGGCTGGCCAAAACCAGTTTATTAACACACCTGTAAAGAAATACTTCTTTCACTTTATTTTGCCATGTTTTGGTATTATTTTTGAACATGGAGCTTCAAACCAAACAGGACTCATTGCCCCAATATGAACTGAGCCCAAAATCTGAGATCTAATACACAAACTGAAAAACTGCAGCTCTGTGCTTTGCACTTGATGCAATTGTAACTAGGCAAGTGGAAGCCCCTTACTACTCACTTTGGCTTGGTGGGGTCGATGAGGGTTTCGTCCAAAAGGTCATAGATGTAGTTATTATAAATCTCAATGTAGGAGACAAACACACTGTATACGTTGTCTTCATCGATTTCCCCTGCTTTGCAGTTATCTTGCACGTTAATCATGTCAGCAATTTCTGGGTCTATTTGCCGCCTGTTGAAAAACCGATGTTGAATAACAAGCAGGTTTTGATTGAAGGAAGCATTCCCAGCCCCTCGCAACCACTTACTTGCTTGATGGAGTTTTGGAGGCCTGGAGAACTTCTCTCTTCTGACGCTCCAGCAAAGCATCCACATCGCCCTGGACATCAACCCCATTCTTGTCGTCAAGCTTGAAAACCTGCAAAGACGGATTTCAGACAGTAAGAAGAGCCTCATCAATATTACTGCTGTTGAGTAATTTCAAAAAAGGAAAAAGCATTTTATGTGAAGCAAGAGTATCAGTTTTAGCAGATCAGATGCTTCTTGAGCAGTGGAACAAATAAGCTTCAACAATTACAGGACCAGAACCCAAGACTTTACTGAAAGAACTATATATAGGAAAGTTAGGGCCTAGCTATATAACTATTTAGCTCTCTGGGGACATTTTGTGTCTCTCTGCGCTCACAGGAGAAGAACAAAGTTCGGGGACTGGCCACGTCGCTAGACAACTTTTATTTTAAAAGATGCATGTCCCTGAGAAGAAATAGCAGGAGAGAAAGAGAGATGGGCAAACAAAGAGGGCAACAGGGGGAAGGGTATTTCCCTGCCAACTAACTTTTCTGCCCATCTATTTCCTTGATGAGGACTATAAACTTGTGCTGGATGCAGTTGAGTTCCAACAGCTGCTACCTTTGGTTCCAAGGCAGGAAGTAACTTACATATCTTTTGGCCTGGAAAGATCCGATGCTGTTGAAAATCATGTCCAGGCAGCGAGGAAGCAGCCCTCCTTCACCAGGGGACCCTGTCATGGTGTGGGTCTTCCCGCTCCCTGTGACACCGTAAGTGAAAAGCAGGCCTGGGATTTAAAGACACAGAGTCACAATCAACACTTTAGAACAGAGTATTCTCTTTATCATTGGACAATTTCAGCAGTACCAAACTATGCTAGCAATTAAACTAAATTTCCTGCTAGTGCTGAACACACAAAAGATCTAAATACAATATTATTATTCCACATCCTTATCAAGTTATCAGAAATGCACTAAGCCTGAAGAGAAATCTTAGGTTTTAAAATCTTGAAATACTTGCAACAGAACCAACATACCATTTTTTCCATGGATAAGATCTTCCACCAAAGGCCGAGCAACCACATCAAATACATCTCTCTGAGTAGCAGTAGTGCCAAATACTTCTTTAAAGGAATACTGGACCTGGAGGAGAAAGCAGAAAGCTGTTATGAAGCGAGAGACAAGAGATGTTTGCAGCTGTTCCTAAAGTGCAGACTATCTCCAGCTTCCAACTGAGGAAATCATGGGCAGTCTTTCAGTTCCGCACATTAAGTACCAAAAAGAAGCCAACTTCAAAACCCGCAAATGCTGCAAATCTCCATATTGATTGAAAATGGAAATTAGTCACTTGTTCCATTAATTCTCTCAGGTTGCTTCACTTTTTTTTGTTTGGGGTGTTTTCTACTGCCCCAGCTAACAAAACCTACAACAAGCGTACATACAAAAGCAAAACTAATGAACAAAAAAAAAAAACCCGATTGTATATACTCAAGTATGAGCCGAGCCAAATACAAGACGAGGCACCTAATTTTACAACATAAAAACTGGGAAAACATATTGACTAGAGTATAAGCCAAGGGTGAGAAATGCAACAGCTACTGGAAAATTTCAAAATAAAAATAGATATCAATAAAATTGCATTAACTGAGGCATCTGTAGGTTAAATGTTTTTGAACATTATATATATAAAACTGTAATTTAAGATAAACCTGTCCAACTCTGATTAAACCATTTTTCTAACCTTCTTCAATGTTAATGTGACCTATCCTTCCAATAATAACAAAGAAAGTAAAACAATGGAAACATAACAATAACAGTAATAATAGAGTAAAATAATAAATGTAATAATAGGGTAATAAAATAATAATAACTGTAATAAAAGTAATGATAAAATAATGTAAATGTAATAATAATAATGATAAAATAGAGAAAAATAATAAATGCAGTAAAATAATAATAACCAAGTAAAACAATCAATAACTTTGACCTGAGTATAAGCTGGGGGAGGGTCAGCCTTAAAAAAGGGCTGAAAAACTCAGTTTATACTCGAGTATATATGGTAAATTACTAATTTAATCTACAGAACTCTCACTCTGTCTGATGGCTTTTTTGTTCTAATATATTTCTTAAAGAGAGTAGACAATTGCAATGTTACCTTTAAAGACATATTTCTAACTCACAAATACCACAATTAGTCAGTCTCCCCAATTTCATATTAATCAATAAATCCCCAATCTCTCTTGAAGTTAGACAGATAATTCTTCTCAATCAGCCTAATAAATTTGTTGATCTTAACAATTCCACAAATATTTGTTAGTCATTGTTATAGACTCCAGGCATTTATTTCCCATTCTGTTGTATACTCAGAAACAGTACATACAGTAAAATTACACTTCTTTGAAGGGCTCACTCTCGCCCATCACAATCTGCCTCACATGCTAATCCACCACCTACGTTTCCCCTAAGAAAAGGAATAATAGAAGACGCAAAGCAGACCTACACATGAACTCAGAGCCACGTAAATTGTGTAACTAGACAGCAGCCATTACCTCTTTGTATTCCCCATTGCGAGCGATGCGATATCCTTCGGGAGGATGAACCTGGACCGTTGTGTTGCTGACAATCTCTACACAGCATTCTTGGTCTGGTATACTCACAGGGCGTACACGACAGTACACCTAATGGGACAAATGAATAGAAGACATCAAGACTTGCACATTAAGAGCCTTGCTCTGCCTGGAAAGTGAATAAAAGTCTTCTTTATTCCCCAATCAAACGAAGTACATTCAAAGTTGGATAACATCTGTTTGCATATAACTGTTTAAGAGTATGGTTCCAGTATAACTAGTAAGCACCAAGCAGCTTATCAAATCTCAATTAAATCAGTCAAACATTTACTTTTTGGAAGACCAAAGAGTAAATCTCATTTGAGCACCGAGCAAAGTGTTATCACTTCAGTTATCAGAAGATCAGACCAAATCACTGTTAGAAGTCAGTACATGTTAGAACAGCTGTTAGAACAGCTCTAATAATTAAAATGCATGTAAAAATGTACTATCTTCTAATAGCGATCCGGTCTGATCTTGCTCTGTGCTCAAACAAAATTCAAAATCAGTTACTATGCACGCAAACCCTTATGAGCAACAGAGGATCAGATCATTGTTAAAAGACAACAGATTTTATATCAATGAACAGATCTAATAATTACAATGCATATAAAATGTATTGACTTCTAACAATGATCTGGCCTGATCCTCTGATGCTAGTAAGGGTTTGTGTGCATACTAACAGAATCTCTACATTATTATAATTAATGCTGTCATAATATCATAGGCAGAACACATGCTTTGTGAACATCTCAGGTCCATACTCTGAACTAGCAAAACTGGGGAGGGAACCTCTTGAATAAAAAATATTAAGCACCCATCAAATTCCCCTATTCAGAAAGCTGAAAGAGAGATCACAGGATATCTAAGTCTCATTTGATTGGTATTATTTTGCCTTGCTTCTGTGCTAAACATTAAGGAGTGTGCCCTACCCGAAAGCAGATGCTTACCCCAACAGGGTCCTTCAAAATATCTTTGGAGAACTTCTTTTGTACACATTTGCGAGGAGTTTTAGTTCTTCTAGAAACAAAAAGGAAACCAGCATCAGAGGGATATCCAAAAGGTAAGACACGTATTTCACAACGCAAAAAAAAAAAAAAATCTTGAATGCTCTTTACGTCCATTAACATAGAGGACATTAAAATATTGATTCTGACAAAAAAAAATCCCAATTGCATGCAATTTCATTTCCAAATGACATTGATGTGTCACAGTTTCTTTCTTCCACAGTTCAGTTACAACTGAAGGCAGATCTGAAACAGGTGAAGTCTCAGGTATCTGCAGCTGAAGCTAAACAGGGAGAAAACTAAGGCCTCTTCCACACAACTGCATAAAATCCAAATTATATGGCAGTGTGGACTCAAGTAATCAAGTTCAAAGCAGATATTGTGGATTATTTGCCTTGATATTCTGGGTTATATGGCTGTGTGGAAGGGCACTAAGATGAGGAGAGAACTCTGAAAATGCATCACAGATATGAATTCATTTGTTTCCTTTGTTTCAGATATTCATAGGCTTGAATTGTCTCCCCAATGATACAGATTCATATTGCATGTTAAAACACAAAGCCTGGAGGCTATTTTATGCAATATTAGCATACATACTCAGCAAGTATATATGCTGGTTTAGCAAATATTTATATTTTTAATTATGTGTGTGTGTGTGTCTATCTATCTATCTATCTATCTATCTATCTATCTATCTATCTATCTAATCTTGTAGATTTTAAATCAGATTGTTTTTAATGTTGTGAGCTGATCTGGGTCTAGCATAAGATAGCAAAAAAAGGATATAAATAAATATAACAATAATAGCCAATACACATTTTGGTGCCTTAAATGTGAAGCCTGTTTCTGAGTATATTTGACAATTCTTGGAGAACAGGAGAAGTCTCAGCAAGGGGTGGGGGAGGGGGGGCAAATGTCCCTGTCTTCAAGAAGGGGGTGTCATGCGATAGCATGAGTAGCATGCAGATTGACTCTAGCCCAGTTAACTTTGTGTGTGATGAATTGGCTCATAAAAGAAAAACACATGAGACTTCCGCTTAAAGTAGAAAAGAAAATATTGTAGTGTTGGCAGCATACAAAACAAAAAGCAGGATTGCTCTTTCCACAAAAGTAACACAAAATATCTTCAAAGAGTTATCTTTGCATAAACGCACAATGGCTATCTTTATACACATGAAAGTAATGCTCTCAATTAGCTCTTCAATTAACTGAAACAGCTGTAGCACAAACAGCCTTGATCAACAACGTAGATAAAGTCCGTCCGTTGCAACCTCTTAGTAGAAACAGGGGGGATAAAGAGGATCCAAACAATTACCATCCAGTCAGCCTGACATCAATACCAGGAAAGCTTCTGGAGCAGATCATTAAGGAAGCAGTCTGCAATCACTTAGAAATGAATGCTGTGATTACTAAAAGTCAACACGGATTTCTCAAAAACAAGCCATGCTAGACTAATCTTATCTCTTTTTTCGACAGAGTTACAAGCTTAGTAGATGAAGGGAATGCTGTGGATGTAGCATATCTTGATTGCAGTAAGCCCTTCGAAAAAGTCTCCCATGACCCTCCCATGAAGGTTGCTCACCAATTGTTCTTTTTCATCCTAGAAAGAAGTGACTAGTGGAATGCCGCAGGTTTGGTCCTGGGCCCAGTACTGTTCAACATTTTTATTAATGACTTGGATGAAGGTTTAGAGGGCGCGCTTATCAAGTTTGCAGATGACACCAAATTATGCTAATTAGGTTTATAATTATATGTAATGCTTTTGATACAAAACCAAATTAGACAGAAAAAATGAAATGCAAAGATGCCTGGCTCGACAAGAGTCTATGCGAAAAGGATCTTGGAGTCTTAGTGGACAAGTTGAACATGAGACAACAGTGTGATGCAACAGCTTAAAAAGCCAATGGGATTTTGGACTGCATCAAAAGGAATATAGTGTCTAGATCAAGGGAAGTCATAATGCCTTTGTATTCTGCTTTGGTTAGACCAGTGTTTCTCAACCTGGGGGTCGGGAGGGGGTGTCAGAGGGGTCACCAAAGACCATCAGAAAACACAGTATTTTATCTTAGTCACGGGGCTTCTGTGTTGAAAGTTTGGCCCAATTCTACCATTGGTGGGATTCAAAGGGCTCTTTGATCATAGATGAACTGTAAATCCCAGCAATGATAACTCCCAAATATCAAGGTCTATTTCCCCCAAATTCCACCAGTGTTCATATTTTGGCATATTGAGTATTCGTGTCAAGTTTGGTTCAGATCCATCATTGTTTGACTCCACTGGGTGCAGGTGAACTACAACTCCCAAACTCAAGGTCAATGCTCAGCAAACTCTTCTAGTGTTTTCTGTTAGTCATGGGAGTTCACTGTACCAAGGTTGGTTCAATTCCATCGTTGGTGGAGTTCAGAATGCTCTTTGATTGTAGGTGAACTATAAATCCCAGCAACTACAACTCCCAAATGACAAAATTATTCTCTCCCAACCCTACCAGTATTCAAATTTGGGCATACTGGGTATTTGTGCCAAATGTGAATGAAAATACATCCTGCATATTGGATATTTACATTAGGATTCATAACACTAGCAAAATTACAGTTATGATGCAGCAACAAAAATAATTTGATAGTTGGGGGTCACGACGACATGAGGAACTGTATCAAGGGGTCGTAGCATTAGGAAGGTTGAGAAACACTGGGTTAGACCTCACCTGGAATACTGCGCCCAGGTCTGGGTACTACACTTCAAAAGAGATTTTGAAAAGCTGGAAGGTGTCCAGCCCCCCCGGGGGCGACTAAAATGTTCAAAGTTCTGGAGACCATGCCCTATGAGGAGCGTCTTAAAGAACTGGGTATGTTTAGCTCGCAAAAGAGAAGGTTGAGAGGAAAGATAACCATGTATAAATATGTGAAAGGGTATCATAAGGAAGAGGGAGCAAACTTGTTTTCTGCTGCCCTTGAAACTAGGACTAGGAGCAATGGGTTCAAACGACAGGAAAAGATTTCACCTGAACATTAGGAAGAACTTCCTGGCAGTAAGAGCTGTTCAACAGTGGAACTCTCTGCCTCAAGAGTGTGGTGGAAGCTCCTTCCTTGGAAACTTTTAAACAGAGGCTGGATGGCCATTGTCAGGGATACTTTGATTGTGCTTTTCCTGCATGGCAGGGGGTTGGGCTAGATCAGAAGTCCTCAAACTTTTTAAGCAAAGGGCCAGGTCACAGTTCCTTAAAATGTTGGAGGGCCAGATTATAATTTGAAAAAAACATGAATGAATTCCTATGCATTGCACATATCTTATTTGTAGTGCAAAAAAACACTTAAAAACAGTACAATAATTAAAACGAAGAACAATCTATATAAATAAAAATGTAATGCTAGTTCCATCAGAACTCAAAAACCACTGGGGGAATTGACACCAAATTTGGACACAAGACACCTAACAGTCCAATTTATGTCCTCCACTCAAAAAAATTGATTTTGTCATTTGGGAATTGTCGTTGCTGGGATTTATAGTTTACCTACAATCAAAGAGCATTCTGAACTCCACCAATGATGGAATTGGGCCAAACTTAGCACACAGGGCTCCCATGACCAACAGAAAAAACTGGAAGGGTTTGGTGGACATTGACCTTGAGTTTGGGAATTGTAAGTTCACCCACATCCAGAGAGCACTGTGGACTCAAACAATGATGGATCTGGACCAAACTTGGCACGAATATTCCATATGCCCAAATATGAACACAGATGGAGTTTAAGGGAAATAGACCTTGACATTTGGGAGTTGTAGTTGCTGGGATTTATAGTTCACCTACAATCAAAGAGCATTCTGAACTCCATCAGTGATGGAATTCAATCAAACATGGCATACAGGACTTCCATGACCAACAGAACACACTGGAAGGGTTTGGTGGGCATTGACCTTGAGTTTGGGAGTTGTAGTTCACCTACATCCAGAGAGCACTGTGGACTCAAACAATGATGGATCTGGACCAAACTTGACACAAATATTCCATATGCCCAAATATGAACACAGATGGAGTTTGGAGGAAATAGACCTTGACATTTGGGATTTGTAGTTACTGGGATTTATAGTTCACTATAATTAAAGAGCATTCTGAAACCCACAAACGACAGAAATGGGGCAAACTTCCCACACAGAACCCCCATGACCAACAGAAAATACTTAAGGCCATCCAGTCCAACTCTCTTCACCAGGGCAAGAAAATGTAATCAGAGCCCTCCTGACAAAGAGCCACCCAGTCATAAATATAGATAGATAGATATGATTCTCTCACACACACAGATATAGTATAGATTTGAAAGAGACCCTTAAAGAAGGACTATGATATGTTGCATATTCCAGAGTAGGCAAACCAGACACTCTCCACATCAACACTGACAAAGAAAAAAGAAATACTGTTTACCCAGAAACATCGAGACATTACATATATTAGAAATCAACACTTTCTCATTATTTTATTTTCCAGATCACTCATTGCCGGAGATGTGTGAGCTTCGGCAAAGTGGCTTTGCAGGTCTTTACAGTAGGTTCTTGTGGGGTTTTTTCGGGCTATATGGCCATGTTCTAGAGGCATTTTCTCCTGACGTTTCGCCTGCATCTATGGCAAGCATCCTCAGAGGTAGTGAGGTCTGTTGGAACTAGGACAATGGGTTTATATATCTGTGGAAAGACCAGGGTGGGACAAAGAACTCTTGTCTGTTGGAGCTAGGTGTGAATGTTTCAACTGTTTCAACAGACCTCACTACCTCTGAGGATGCCTGCCACAGATACAGGCGAAACGCCAGGAGAGAATGCCTCTAGACCATGGCCATATATATTATTATTGTATTGTCAAAGGCTTTCATGGCTGGAATCACTAGGTTCTTGTGGGGTTTTTTTCGGTCGTTTCGCCTGTATCTGTGCCAGGCATCCTCAGAGGTAGTGAAGTCTGTTGGAACTAGGAAAATGCTAATCAAGTTGGCCAATTGAACATTCACATCTAGCTCCAACAGACAATAGTCCTTTGTCCCACCCTGATCATTCCACAGATATATAAACCCCTTTTTCCTAGTTCCAACAGACCTCACTACCTCTGAGGATGCTTGCCATAGATGCAGGCGAAACGTCAGGAGAGAATGCCTCTAGAACATGGCCATATAGCCCGAAAAAACCTACAACAACCCAGTGATTCCGGCCATGAAAGCCTTCGACAATACATAAAACTTTTTAGTTGCTTTAATCCTTGTTGTAAGGCTGTTTCTGGGGGAAGACAGGACGTTATGATTCAATATAGAATCATAGAGTTGGAAGAGACCTCATGGGCCATCCAGTCCAACCCCATTCTGCCAAGAAGCAGGAATATTGCATTCAAATCACCCCTGACAGATGGCCATCCAGCCTCTGTTTAAAAGCTTCCAAAGAAGGAGCCTCCACCACACTCCGGGGCAGAGAGTTCCACTGCTGAACGGCTCTCACAGTCACGAAGTTCTTCCTCATGTTCAGATGGAATCTCCTCTCTTGTAGTTTGAAGCCATTGTTCCGCGTCCTAGTCTCCAGGGAAGCAGAAAACAAGCTTGCTCCCTCCTCCTGTGGCTTCCTCTCACATATTTATACATGGCTATCATATCTCCTCTCAGCCTTCTCTTCTTCAGGCTAAACATGCCCAGCTCCTTAAGCCGCTCCTCATAGGGCTTGTTCTCCAGAACCTTGATCATTTTAGTCGCCCTCCTCTGGACACATTCCAGCTTGTCAATATCTCTCTTGAATTGTGGTGCCCAGAATTGGACACAATATTCCAGGTGTGGTCTAACCAAAGCGGAATAGAGGGGTAGCATTACTTCCCTTGATCGAGACACTATGCTCCTATTCATGCAGGCCAAAATCTCATTGGCTTTTTTTGCCACCACATGACCCTGAGGGCCGGGTAAATGACCTTGGAGGGCCGTATCCGGCCCCCTAGCTTTAGTTTGAGGACCTCTGGGCTAGATGGTCCATGTGGTCTCTTCCAACTATTATTCTATGACCTACTGGTTCCAAAAAACCCATCAATTTCCCCTACCAGCCTTAGTTTTTGAGATACAGGAGCCATATACAACTCTTCAATCCTGATAAACACATATCTAAGGAAAGAAAGCGGATGCAGTCTATCCAGTGCAATTTTCTGTGAGGAGGAACAAAACGGTTCGAGAGGGGAAAGGAATGGGCTTAATAATAAACTGAATTTGCCTCCCCGCTTGTCTCCGCCCGAATAACCCATCACTCACGCAGCCGCCTTCATGGCTCCACCGCCTTTCTTCCCTCTCTGGCCTCTTTCCTGATGCTTCCGTTCAAACTTTCCCTCGCAGAGACGGGCTATTTCAATCCAAATCCCGCCAATCAGGACGCAGCATAGAGGCGAAAAAGGCGGGGTCACTGCTCGTCTTGCCCCGAGGGGCGGGGCTTGGCGGTTGCTTGCCTGCCTCAGCGCAGGCGCCATAAAGGAATTCAGGGAGGCGGAAAACCATGCGAACGGGACTTAGTGGTTTCCAAGGCAACGGCGAAGCCTACTCTACCTCAGGCTTCGAGAAAGCCCACTAGGCCCGAGGGGGAAAAAAAGTTCAGGAGTGTTTGGGAACGTTTCTTCTTATTTTACCCCCTTTTCTGTTCCATCAAAGGGTCAGCATCTCATGCCAAACTATGTCTGTTCAAACGATATTTATATTCAATCTCCTATTGTCTTTTAAGAGAGAAAAGTGGCATGTAAAGAAATGCAACAATAAATACAAATATTCCACAACTAGCTGTCCTCTGCCACGCTTTGCTGTGGCCCCGTCTAGTGATCTGGAAAATAAAGTAATGAGAAAGTGTTGGTTTCTAATTTATGTAACGTCTTTCTACTTGTGGATCAACAGTATTTCTTGCTGTTTCTTTGCCAGTATTGATGTGGTTTGCCTACTCTGGAACATGCAAGATATAATTGTCCTTCTTTAGGGGTTCCTTTCAAATCTATGATACTATATCTCTCTCTGTGTTAATAATATATATCTATATCTATGGCTGGAAGGCTCTTTGTCAGGAGGGCTTTGATTATGTTTTCTTGCCCTGGTGAAGGGATTTGGACTGAATGGCCTTCAGGCAGCATTTCTGCTGGTCATGTGAGTTCTATGTGGGAAGTTTGGCCCAATTCTCTCGTTGGTGTGGTTCAGAATGCTCTTTGATTGTAGGTGAACTATAAATCCCAGTTACTACAACTCCCAAATGTCAAGGTCAATTTCCCCCAAACTCCATCTGTATTCATGTTTGGACATATGGAATATTCGTGTCAAGTTTGGTCCAGATCCATCATTGTTTGAGTCCACAGTGCTTTCTGGATGTAGGTGAACTACAACTCTCAAACTGTAGTGTTTTCTGTTGTTCATGGGAGTTCTGTGTGCCAAGTTTGGTTCAATCCCATTGTTGGTGGAGCTCAGAATGCTCTTTGAACTATAAATCCCAGCAACTACAACTCCCAAATGACAAAATCATAATTTTTTGAGTGATGGTCACTCATTGTGTCGTGAGACATTTTGTTGCCAAATTTGGTGTGATTTCTTTCATTGGTTCTTTTGTTTTTGAGGTACTTATTACGCACAGAGCATTTATATATAGATAGATGCTATTTCTTGATTCCCTCAAAGTGCTTATGCAACGTGCCTTGCCAGAGATTATTCATAAAAATAATAATATAGAAAAAACAATTATAAAGAAACCTAGCAACGTTGGATTGCAGTTTTTTTGAATCAATGAAAATCTATGCTTTATTATTATTATTATTATTATTATTATTATTAGATAGCTTAAAACACAGGCTCATTTTCTCACATCTTGCACTTGATCCTCAGTTTATTTCAACTGCTGCAAACTGAATTCAAAGGATATAAATAGTGCACATTCAATTGTGAGACAGAAACCAAACTTTTGGGTTTTTTCCCCTCAAAGATACCATTCTGCAGAAATTGCTGAGTCATGCAAAGAGAAGCAAATAAGCATTATTATTATTATTATTACTATTAATTAGCTGCTCTGAGGCTTTCTGTGAAGAGAAGAAGCAAGAATATTACTATTATTTATAACTATTATTTCACTTCTCTCCCAAATGAAACTCAGGACACTACTTCTTCTTATTATTATTATTATTATTATTATTATTATTATTATTATAACTGGTATTGTTATTAACTACTCTGAGACTCCCACTAGAGATACTGTGCTGTCGCACGCTGGGCCTGTGCATTAGACTGTACACAGGACATAAATTCTCTGTGCCCAACGGGACGCCGGGGCTGCCTCAGAATAAAGGCCCTTAGATTCCCCCAAACAGAGTCTTTAGAATACTTAAAGTAAATCCAACAAAGTTATTTATTGATGAAAACAAACGGAAATTGTAGAGCTTTAAAGTATCAGTTCTCTCAAACTTGTCCGCAGGGAACAGGCACTGTCTTCTTAACTATAATTAACTAAAGGGGAAATCCTAGCTTCTAATCTGGGCAGTCTGTACTTGCCTCTGTTGACGTGGAGCCCCTGCACCCGGTACCAACTGCGTCTGGCTTCCGCGAGCCCTTGCCTCAACAGAGCTTTGTAGACCTCCAGGGAAAAAGAAGGAGTTCAGGTTGCTGTGATGGCTGGCTGGAGTCCCTCAGCCAAGCTGTGGCTGTATGTCTCCTGGCCAAGCCGTAGGGCTGTATAACCCCGGCCAAGCTGTAAAAGACGAAGCTTTTCTACAGGAGCCACTTCGTTCTATGTCCTGTGCGAAAGGCTTCTCTGTGAGAACTAACTCAAAATGGCTCCTGTTCCCTCCAAAACTCAAAAAGGGGCGGGACCAGGGAACCTAACTATAACTGGCAGGTGGCTTACCCTATAAATGCAAATTATAACAGGAAACCCCCTGCTGCAAAATCCCAAGCATGGGATTGCACACAAACATTTAAACACAGCAAATAAATCTGGAGCTCCTGGAACAGCTGTTCCAGAACACTCCTGGCCTAGATTTCTCAATGATGAGAAATCTACACTATAATAAACGGACCAAAACATCGTGAGTCAAATTCTTACACTCTAAAAACATAGCATTCAAAATCTTTCTATACAAACCAATCATACGTTCCCACACACCCCCCATGTGAGACGCATGCGGTACATTAAACAATCATGAAACCTTTTCTGTACTCAAATACCTATTGACACTGGGGTCCTATCTGGGGGCACTTTTAATTTAGGGATGGTGGCATCAGATGGAGCAGTCTCAGCCCTGGTCATAACAAAACCTAAAGTGCAAGAACTAGAGCCCTTTTGTCTGGCATAAGCCACAGCTGCAATAGCTTTCTCCGAGGCGTCGCAAAAGACACGGAGTTCGGTATGCAAGCTCTGTGAAGGGCTCCTGGCCGTGAATTGGCGTGGGGTGCTCAGCTGGTGTAAATCTTGAGCCTGACCGATTTGCTGTTTGGTCTTGGGATCACGCTGTATCTTGCGTCTCAAAGACTGCAGTCTCTTCTTTGCTACCTGTCTGTTCGGAGGCAGGGTAGGCCGGTCTGCTTTGAAGGGCAAAGGGGCAATCCCTTCTTCGCTGAGAGTGACCTCGGAGTTCATGATGTTCAGGAGCGCTTGCTCATCTCGGGAGAGCGCTGTGTTCTCATCATCCCGGGACACGTCGAAGATGGAAGAGAACTCAGATGAAACTCCTTGGCAGCAAACCAAAATGTGGCTGAGGCAACTCTGCATGAGGGTGACTCTGCCACAATTGAGGGTGTTGGGCTGATCTGGACACAGAGAAGACGGAGGATGCATTCTGTCGACACATACAGGTCCCTGTATGGTCCATCCTAAAGGAGTCTTCTGTGCCAAAGGTGCACCAGGAGGACCTCTCTTCTCAGCTCGGATGCTCATCAAGCTGGGGCAGTTGGATCCAATGAGCAGGACTATGTCAATGCCCGGCTCAAAGGGTGGAATGAGGTCCTGTAGTCCTTTCAGGTGAGGATGCGCTTGCATCATCTCTCTGGTAGCAATCTGGTCCTTATTGCGTGGGATGGACGCACACTCAATAAGGTCAGGCATCTCAAAACGAATGTCTTTGCCACATGGCGAAATGATAAATCCAGACGCAACGCGGCCCTGTCTTCGTTGTTTGCCTGTACAAGTAGAAATACAATAGTCAATAGTCTTTGCCTGCCCCTTAAAGATCTTGAAGAAGTCAGGGGTGGCCAGGGAACCGTCGCTTTGGTTGTCAAGGGCCACGTACATTTTCTTCTTCATCCAAGGCTTGCTGGCAGGAAAAACCTCTGCCAAACAAATGGGGTGGCAAATCCTAGTTTTCTTTGGGCTGCCGCACAGCTGTGTGCAAGCCACAGAGGGTGCCTCAGTGCCCGATGAAGGTCCAGCTGAATCTTCTGGGGAGGCTTCTGGGGAGCGTGGACTGGTGGCTCCACTCTTGACCTTGGAGGGCACGAAATCCTTGTCATGCATAGCTGAGCAATGCCTTTCGGATTGGCACATCTCGCACTTCACCATTTCTTTGCATGACTTTGACTGGTGGGGAGTTGCACCGCAGCATCTGAAGCAGATCCTGGACTTCTTGAGGATCTCAACCTTGTCTGCGTGAGGCTTCTTGGCAAACTCCCTGCAGTCGGCCAAACTGTGGGGCTTTGCATGCAGTGGGCACAAAACATCCTCGGGGTCAGCTGGAGATGAGTTGGTCTCCGTGGACTTGACGGCGATGTTTCTTTTGGTGCCACTATCTGCAGGTTTCTTAGGGTCTTTGATGGGCCTGTCCGTCCTTGGAGTCCCATAAAGAGTTGGAAATCCCGTCTGTGGGTCGTTGAACTGCATGGCAGCATTTGTGACGAAATCTACAAGATGTGCGAATGGTGGGTAGACCTGATGGTTGGCCTGTTTGAATCTGAAGACTTCTTTGCCCCACTCTTCTTGTAAGGAGAATGGCAGCTTCTGGATGATGGCAGTTTGGGACAGGTGTTGGTCCAGGCAGGCAAACCCTGGAAGCTGCGGATTTCCCTTGGCGGCCTGAAGCTCAATCAATAAGTCTGACAAGTCCCAAAGCTGTTCAAAGTCCTTAGGTTTGAGCACCGGGAACTTATGAAGTCTGTCCATCAGCGAGGCTTCAATTTGGGTGCTGGTCCCGTAGCGCTGATCAAGCCTCGTCCATGCAGTGTCCAAAGCTCTATCTGGTTGGTCGATGAGAGCCGAGAAAATCCTTCTCACCTGCTGAGCTGATACTGGACCAAGCCAGGCGATCAAAAGAGTCAATTGTTCCTCAGAGGAGAGTCTTAAACTCTGAATGGCTCACTGAAAAGT